CGTTGCGCAAATTCGAGATTCAAATTTAGCGTATCTGCTCTAGTTAGTAGCTAGTAGCTCTCATCAAAAATAATCAAATCAAACCGATTGGTACTTCTTTGTTAAATTCTTAATGCACATTACGACATTACCTGATTGATAACCTTCTTCAGTTTCTGAAATGCATGAACACCGTACTTAGTTCCAACATTTCAGTTCTAAAAACATTCAAATTGACAGGTTCTTGCTTGTGTTAAACTTATGCATCCGTCCGGCTGATCTCCTATATTCTGGCGCAGGGAATAGCAAATATTTCTCTCGTCCTTAACATATGGCTACGATATTGTTGTAGGAGGCAACACGTAAATTTCTCCTCGAAAAAATTGTGATATTCTAGCAGTCTTTGATTCCAGAGGTATACTCAGATGGTAATACATATAACTCAAAAACAATCTCAATATACGACGTCGAAATCAACATTATTTATTCTGGAGTAGGTATATACGGACAAAGGATTTTGACGCGAGGGAAGGGTTTAAGAAGCCAGGTGAGGGATACCAGCCTATATTGTACAAAACTGTTCGTTAAAATTTTCATGGCAATCAGTTTGCATGAATTCTCATGCTCGGGGTGTAGTTGGCTCGTAACACTCACAATTGAGGTATTTTTTGGAGTAATGGCAGAGGTTAATGGTGACAAAAAGTCACTTAACCTTAACTTTCAGCAGACAGATAATAAAAGGCCTCGGCAAGATAAAAATGAAACATTTCATGAGTACATTACCAAATTCTTAATTAGGTGCTGAGTTACTGAAATAGCAAAAATGCTTTAATAATTGCAGCAAAAGTGTAGTAGACTACATTCTTGTGCCAGACTGTTTTGGAAGCATACGAAATTTTTTCGTTTGTTCAACTATGACTTCAGCAATAGATGAGCGAGAGATTAAAAGGTGGGCTAAAGCCATCAGTGTATAAGTAGGCCTTTCCCGCTCACTTTTGCACAACTTGACCCTTTAATTTTTTCCCTAACATTTTCTTCTAAAAAATGCTCCTCGCATAGGACGATTTGAGAACGAATCCTCTTTAAGCGAGAAATACTGATCTTTCCCCATCTAAAAATAGCAAAGGAATTTTGCGAGATGACCCTGCCGCTCGTGAGCTTCCCGAAATCACCATCCATTCGTCAAAGCGTACTACTAAGAGTGCAACCGAACCATTTTCTCTTGGCCTCGAACACAAATGATGCGCAGCTTCTTATTAGATGATTGTTGCGAAGTTTTCTACCAATTCTTTTGTACTGATTTTGCCAAGAAATTGCCATCCGTTCCTTCGCATATATATAAATCCCTCGTAACTGTCTAAGGCCTCACCGTGGCGCGGAGGTGACTCTGGGTTTCAAACTGCGAAGTACAGCGGAGTTTATCCTCCAGCAGAGTCTCTCAAGCTGAGAAGAAGTTCGACGTTTTGCGCTCTCCAAAATCCCAAACTAAAAGTAGGCTCTGCCAAAGGTGCCACTATTGGATGACTTAGTCGCTAGATGGTTCAATGATCCACATAGGTCAGCGATTGCCTGTGGCGAAAATTTGGCAGGCCCTAAGTTTAGGGAATAATTCTGTTGCTGGAATAGCATGTAAGAAAAAACCGCTACACTCTATCACATCTCCAGCGTCGGATCTCATCAAGACAACTTAGGTTGCACAGATGGATTTCGGACCAAAAGGATATAAGGATGTCAACGACTGGCAAGCAGATTGTCTCATGCTCTGCACCAACAATGCAAGAAAGTCTCCCCAACGTCGACCTTCACCCTTTTCGACGCTGCAGGGCGCATCAGCTACCACACCGCCTTGCAGAGAACGAAGTCCAGGAAGGATGAGAAACTTTCATCACCGAACATGGGGCGTTGGATTTGTCGTACACCCCTCTGTTTGTCTTGTCGATTCTCATGGGATCCTATCACCTCGCTTGGTTGGCTTATTTCGACTCCGTCTTCTGCATCAGTAGCAGTATTAATCTAATCCGCATGTTGGCATCAAAGTTGCCAGCATGTTAGCAACACTACGTGGCAACTAATGAAGGTTATTCCAGCATAGTAAGCTATGTAGTAGAAAATGCACTATGAATACATGTACTCAGTTGGTTTGGGCAATGAAGATTGCGCAGACACTTTCTCTTTCCTTGTATTTTTATTGAATGCATTGAGTTTGGCAGTTGTTACTTGTTCACCTTGACACTTGTAATAAGTTGTCACATAAACTTTCTATCGCTTATTCTATTCTATTCTCGAACTCCTTTTTTCTGAAGACAGTCAACAACATGGATTAATAAAAGAACATTATCAATACTTATTTCCCGAATTTATCTAGCAGGAGCAACTGAACATGTCAAAATCGAAAGCACTCTTTCGGCCAGAATCAGGAACATGACGATACAATCTGATATAAGTGACTAAAGAACCTCTACCTTGATTCACATGAGAAATTTCAGAAGAGAAAATTCTGGCTAAAAGCCAAAATGAGTGGTAGTGAATTTATGTGACATTCATTCATACGATAAGCAACATCATATGATCTTCATTTAATAAGCTTGTTTTTAGATATGATATAGATAGGTATTCTATTATATTTCGACTATGTATAATATTTGGAGAACGATTTGAAAAAGAACTAAACAGAGGGCGAAGAGCAGCTTGAGTCGCTTTCGGGCCCCCAAAGGAAGCCACAATCCAGCTGACGGACCCAGAGCTCCGAGCCCACCGTTCGATTCGACCGTTTCCCCTGCGCTCTGTTACGCAGCAGAGACGTTGCCTGACACTGTGACTACGTCGAAGGCTCTTCATAACCCAAGAGTGCTGTAACGACTCTTCTGTGGTACAACCAACGCCCCTCAACATCTCCTCGGACTTCGCAGTTCAGATATGAGAACAATGCCTCGTCTTCGCGATTCAGCGGAATACGTCTCCAAAGCAAAACATCGCTAGGCTGGTCGTATAATGAGAAGGACAGACGATAGATGGACAAAAGAGTACTGAAGAGGCCACCGACCAGATGTGCTGATGTGTTCGTGACAAGGGGGTTGAATGAATTCTCAGCTGGTAACGACTAATGGATCTGCATATTGCAAACGTCACCGCCGCAGTTTAGTACCAACAT